TAATTCTTTGTGTAACTCTAAGATAATTATTCTGTATCTTAACTATTTTTTAACCTAAATGTTAAATGAGTGATTTATTATAATAATTAAATTAAAAAAATAAAATAAAAGGTTATTCTCTTAAATTAAATTTATAAAATAACTTGATAAATATAATAACATTGATTATAATCAATCTCGATTATTATAATTTAATATTTTATTAAAAAATTCAATTGCTTAATTATATAAACTGATTAATGAAAATTCAAACACTAAAATTTATAACATTACCAATTGAAATTTTAATGAGTTTATTAATATGAAAAAATTACAACTATTAAGCGGGTGTCAAATAACAATCCTTTTAAATTATCAATTAAATACGAAACTAGAATGAATTTAAGAGAGTTACAATCAATAAATATATCATAACCTATCAATTGAAATTTCAAACTATACATTTCTTGTTTCTTTAATTCATCATACTTGCATAGAATGCAGTACGATGAGTGGAATTTTAATAAAAACTATAATCAATCTTATACCTTCAATAGATTAAAATGATTTTATTATTTTATTGTTTATATTAATAACTTTACATTCATAATTCCACACTATTAGATTAAAAATAATCTATATAGGAATTAATTTATAATTTAACGATTCGAATAATTTATATTTATCGATTATTTTTAATAAGATTCCAACAATTTACAGTCCAAATTTTAATAGTTCTTGAGAAATATTGTTAACGATATAGAATATCGATTACTTTCTACTAATAAACTTTATATATTAAAACGCATTAAAAATAATTACATTTTCAACTCAAATTTAAATAATAACTTTTGTCCTTAATTTTAGTAGGATTGCAAAATTTATTTTAAGATCAATTTATAGAATCCAATAAGACGTCTCATGAATAAAGGAGAAATTTTCAATTATAGTTCACTTACACAACCTATCAAAAAGAATGAAATATGTTAAGCTAAAAACATGTCGAAATATTTTTTTTAATATAATATACATTTTTTTAATCTATGAAATACATACGTGTTAAAAGGTTTACAATAATTTGTTTATATAATATAATGAAATAGCTTGACAACATATTGTGAGCTCTTTATGCACTTGAATTGTTTAAACTTTTGCATCGAGCTATCTGATTTTTCGTTGAATTATCTGATTTTTTCATGTACTTTATTGAGTTATCTGAATATCTTGTCTATCATACACTTAGTCTAATTCTCTTAATGTCTTGTTGAAGTATTTAAATTTTTCATGTACTTAACCAAACTTTTCGAATTGTCTTGTCAACCTCTCAAAACTTTAATTAATTATATGATGCATGACTTTAATTAATTATGTATGTATCTTAAATTTGTCATTTGATTTCTTTTCAAATATATTAAAGTTGAAATTATCATTTGGTTATAATTGAATACAATTTCAATATTATTAAAAATTGTTTATGTTATTCACGATTTTTTCAATAAAATCGTAACCGCTATGCACGACCCGCTCTATCCACGACTCAATCTAGATACGTAATAAATTTAAAAAGTAATCCACATTCGAAAAAAAAATTACCTATTTTAGTACATAAACCAAATAAATAATATAAATTAAAACAGAACTTTTTATATCTTACTATATAAATATTTTCTTTGTAAATTAGTTTTTACTGGAAAGTATGCTTGCTAAATAAAACTTGGTTGAAGTTATCGTTCATTTCTCCATTTGCTGAAAAATAAACAACGTAATTTCAATCATAGAATTAAAGGGAGGAAATTAATCTTAATTCTTCGTGTATATACTCGAAATTTGACTTACACTATATACTTACATAACTAGTTTGAATCTTCAAATCATAAAAAATATTAACTGAACTTTTGAGGGACCATTTTGCAACGACTTTTTGTGTGCGTTCCAAGAACATGACTCAGCCAATAAATAATTATCAACCTTTTCGGGACAAAACATCACCCAAATGAATTTTGCCTCTTCAAACGAAGTTTAGTCATATGAAGTTAAAAATTTAACCACTGATTCCAAGCTTAAGAAATTCAACTCTCTACTAAATGGTAGAACTTTTTTATATTCTGCATTGACTTTGTTCTGCTTGACAAAACAGAAAATGTAGAAGAATGAAGCAAAGTTTTGATATTCTATATTGACTTTGAAATTGATGTTAATCTTCCTTTTGCAGATCACATGAATTTTAGTCACAATGTAGTTCTGTTCAAGTAAAGTCAGATATGAACTTTATCTTTATGTTTGCAACAAAAGTCTAATCTGACATATAAGTTTCAAAGATAAATTAAAATTTCTTAATTATATGAAAAAGGGTCTTCTAAATACGTATTAATATGGGATTTAAGTTTAAGACATGAAAACATTGATGAAAAGTAAAATGCAGTGATGATGATGCTACAAGCACATGCAGAAGGTCCTACCAGTCCTAAAGCATGATACAAATTCCCGCAATTCCCGCATTTGAATTCTCCAATAAATCAAATTAATTTAAACCAGTTTGTGGCATATTTCTGACCATAATCATGCAGAAACACAACACATTTTGAAAATCAAACAGACACTACCTAACTTGCTGAAAAATCACCCTTTTGTCTGACCCATTTGAGGCCAACAACTACAATCACCATGCAATGCAGACAACAATTGCCTTTCAACAAAAAATAAAATCAACTAACACAACATTAACACTTATCCAATGATGTTGTTCAATGGTGGTGTGGTATTCACTACCAGAAATGAATGAATGCATCCCACGCTGCTCCGACGGCAAAAACAACAGGCGTGAGAAGAATGTGGCCGGTGGAGAAGAGTGTTGGTGCGCCGGATTTTACAGGGGCGGCTTTCGGCGGAGGTGGTAGCTTTTCAACATGAACAGCCACCTTCATGCCACTGAAGCAGAACCCTTTGCCACTGATGATGTAGTAGGTTTTGGTTACGTTTAGAGGAACCACATCTCTTCCTGCACCCCTTGTCCAGTTTGTGAGTGGATGATCAGAGTTACAAGTCTCATAATCGGTCTTGTTCACTTCCAGCACGCTAGCTTGGTTCCTGTCGTAAACAAAATCTGCAAAAACAGACATAGTTAGCATGAATATATGAACTAGGAAACATTGCATTCCATAAAATCTTGGTTTGGAACTCAAAATTTGCACCCAACCACCACACAACTTTGTTCATTGCTACTTCTTACAAGTGTTTGTGTGCTTCTATAACCAAAAATTGAGGTATGACAAGGCAATGAGAGTACAAATCAAAACTAGAGTAGAAAACTTCTAAGATAGAAGAGATAATTATTAAGAAGTGAACTTTAACTATTACTGAATCCAACAAAACCAACTTGAAAAATGAGATTTATACCCACTTATATACTATAAACTTGTCTTATCTTTACTTAGGATCTTCAATAATAATGAATACCTATTACCTTGTTTGGATTACCCTTAGCCTCATTCTAAAAGTACTTTTGAGACTAAAAGATACAGAATGTCCTTCAAAAGTAAGTTTTACATTTCAAACATGTACTATATCTGTTATGTTATGTTGCATTCCATTAACAAATTGAGCCACTAATTGAGGGTGAAAGTCATTCTTTTAACTTTACTTCACCTCATTTTTACTGTGATGTTAATTGATGGGAATATTCAGCTTAACCTTTTGATTAATTTGGGTAAATTAGTGAACTCATAAACTCGAGCAACATGCTATAATACGCAGAATATGGCAGTATAGAGTGCATCCTGCCACAGCTAAAAATTGTTTAAAGGTTAAACAAGACTGCAATTCTCTATTCTTGTTCACATTTCAATTGTTTGATTGCTATTCCACATTTTTGTTTAACCATTCACATATTTATGGCTTATCTTGGTGGTGAACATCCAGAACTCAACACCAACGGGGAGAGAAGATGCAAGAACCATGAAAAACACAAATTAACTTGCATTCACACCAAAAGTAACCATGAAAATTTTGACGGCACAAAAACGAGGAATTTTCACTGAAAGAGAGAAATGCACGAACAAGCAACAGAATAAGGATGTTAACTAAGGATTTGGAAATGCAGCCCAAGTCAACAAAAGCACAAAAAGGGATCCAAATTCAAAACCCTATTTTTCATTTACACTCCCTCTAGACAGAAAATATCAATTAAGAAATCAAAATAAAATGAGGCAGGGAATGTGGGAAAAACTCCAACACCATTCCCCTAAAAACACAACTATTACAGTTCATTTACAAAATGCTGGTAATATCATACACACAACAATTCCCAGTTCTTCTACAACACCATCCAAATTCTTTCACTGTTCTTATCCACCTAGCATGAGTTCAACAAAAGACCCAAAGGTTAACTAAAGACGGAAGAAAACCAAAAGATCTGAAATTGAAACTATCAAATATGGACCCTCTTGCTTCAAAAGACAGTAAATTCAGCGATGAAAACAACAGAAAGATAACAGCTTTATCTATTTCATCCAATCCTCGTACTAAATCAGATCCGGTTCACAGAGAGACTGCACCAACACAACAACCAGCACGGAAACAAAAAGTCCAGTCCCAGACAAAACACATGAATAGATAAAGAGAGAAAGGGAACTTACACAGCCAATCTCCAAGGTAGAAATGTTTTCCTTTGGCCCATTCAGTGTAGTTGATATTGGGGTTCCAAAACTTGCTATCTCCAACGTTAAACTTTGTAGCCGAAGCTTCTGGAAGCAAGAGAAGAAGTGAGAAAGCTAGAAAGAGAAGCACAATGGGTGGAGAAAGCACCGTCTTCTTCATCCTATCCTCCATCACTGCTTCGCTTGCTTGGTTGCAGTTACCCTCTTCTCTTCTCTTCACAGTTCAACAAACTCTGGAACACTCTGTCACAATGTTCTGTTCTTTTGGCCTTTTAAGGACTCCTTTTGGTTCTTTTGGGGTTTTTTAAATAGCATCTGTTGTGTGAAAGTTGTCTTTTTTTTCTTATTTAATTTCAATTTTCTAGGGTTGTTGTTGCTTTCTAGATCTACCATTGATTTTTTTTATCACAATACGCGCAGGAAATAGTACAGCTTTTAAGGTATCTTCCTAAAAATGGGATTTTTACTGAAGAAGAAATTATAAAAAAACAATTATTTAAAATAAATATTAGGATATGATACGGATAGTGTTATTATATGTAATGAGAAAAAGTCTTATTTTTAAACATGAATATTAAACATAAATATTTTCCCTAAATATAGAATTATATTTTAAAAGGTAAGTTTTATTATTTTTTTAACTTGTTAAGATCCTGAAGATTAGATATAAGAGTGTAAATATATCTTTTAAAATGATTTTTGGAAAAAACTTACATATTATTAGGTTCAGTTTATCATGGATGAGTAATGGTTTTGTATTCCTCCATAGAAATTTAAAAGAACAAAAAACAATATCTCGTAAAAAAATATAAAACTAAAGATTTTCTAAACGTAAAACTTAAAAATTAATTTATAAAATAAATATAGAAATTCATATTTTAAATATATAATATGAATGAAATAATGTAAAAAATTATACGGTATATAATAAATAATATTTAAAAAATTATACAAGTTAAATGAAACCATAAGTCAAATTGCATGGTATCATTTATTTTTTTTCTTTCTTCTTTTATTATTTTATTTCTGACAATATATATATATATATAATTTAAATTTTATATTAAATGTTTGAAATTATTTATCACTCATCTTTTCTTCTTATATTTATATTGAAAACTTTTATATAAATCGAATTTGAATGAAATCAGTTAATCATTTTAAATATTAGAAATATATTTAGAGTTGTTAAAGGGTTAAGTTCATATTATTAATGCAAAAAATACATTTATGACCAAGAAATTGATTATATTTCTTGGTATCTTCATTGTTAAGAGATGACTTTGGAATTATTTAAATTAATACATATGAGAGTAATAAAAATAAAGTATAATAAAATTAAGGTTTGAAAAAAAACAAGAGTGGTAAAATACAATCCCAACCTTTGTTATCCATGCTTGCAATTCAATTTTAATTTATATTTTATTATTACTTTATCTTATACTATACTAACTATTATACTCTAAGACAATTAAACAGCATTAATACATAATAGGTTCAGTTACTTAAAAATAACTACAGGTTAAATGTTTTTTTTATTCTTCACAAATATATTATTTTCTAATTAAAAATTACTTTTATATTACTAAAATGCTACTCCAAAACTGGTTAAAAATAGTCTTTCTTCAAACATTTACTTTATTACGAGAAGGACCACCCTTTCGAATATGGATAGTTTTTCTCATCACGATTTTATATGAAAATACATATTTCAAACATTTGAAAGAAAACAAAATTACATATTTAATGAAAAAGTAATTGATAAACAAATGAACGTGTATGAATTTGACACCTGGATCAATAAATATTATATTATATTACAATCCTTATCTTGAATTTGTTATTTATTTCTCCTGTTGCATGTGTTGGTTGATATCAACATCCACACAATAACACTTTTTTTCTTTAGCCATGAATGTGGTCCTGCTTTTTCCTAAAATCACGATACCACAACACAACAAGTACATTAATACGACATGCAAACTTTGCTGTCTCATACCTATTTCTTAAATTTATATATATAATATATTAAAACTGTGGAACACTGTAAGCTTTCTTGCTGAATCTGTTTACAATTTGCTGTANGTGTTAAAAGGTTTACAATAATTTGTTTATATAATATAATGAAATAGCTTGACAACATATTGTGAGCTCTTTATGCACTTGAATTGTTTAAACTTTTGCATCGAGCTATCTGATTTTTCGTTGAATTATCTGATTTTTTCATGTACTTTATTGAGTTATCTGAATATCTTGTCTATCATACACTTAGTCTAATTCTCTTAATGTCTTGTTGAAGTATTTAAATTTTTCATGTACTTAACCAAACTTTTCGAATTGTCTTGTCAACCTCTCAAAACTTTAATTAATTATATGATGCATGACTTTAATTAATTATGTATGTATCTTAAATTTGTCATTTGATTTCTTTTCAAATATATTAAAGTTGAAATTATCATTTGGTTATAATTGAATACAATTTCAATATTATTAAAAATTGTTTATGTTATTCACGATTTTTTCAATAAAATCGTAACCGCTATGCACGACCCGCTCTATCCACGACTCAATCTAGATACGTAATAAATTTAAAAAGTAATCCACATTCGAAAAAAAAATTACCTATTTTAGTACATAAACCAAATAAATAATATAAATTAAAACAGAACTTTTTATATCTTACTATATAAATATTTTCTTTGTAAATTAGTTTTTACTGGAAAGTATGCTTGCTAAATAAAACTTGGTTGAAGTTATCGTTCATTTCTCCATTTGCTGAAAAATAAACAACGTAATTTCAATCATAGAATTAAAGGGAGGAAATTAATCTTAATTCTTCGTGTATATACTCGAAATTTGACTTACACTATATACTTACATAACTAGTTTGAATCTTCAAATCATAAAAAATATTAACTGAACTTTTGAGGGACCATTTTGCAACGACTTTTTGTGTGCGTTCCAAGAACATGACTCAGCCAATAAATAATTATCAACCTTTTCGGGACAAAACATCACCCAAATGAATTTTGCCTCTTCAAACGAAGTTTAGTCATATGAAGTTAAAAATTTAACCACTGATTCCAAGCTTAAGAAATTCAACTCTCTACTAAATGGTAGAACTTTTTTATATTCTGCATTGACTTTGTTCTGCTTGACAAAACAGAAAATGTAGAAGAATGAAGCAAAGTTTTGATATTCTATATTGACTTTGAAATTGATGTTAATCTTCCTTTTGCAGATCACATGAATTTTAGTCACAATGTAGTTCTGTTCAAGTAAAGTCAGATATGAACTTTATCTTTATGTTTGCAACAAAAGTCTAATCTGACATATAAGTTTCAAAGATAAATTAAAATTTCTTAATTATATGAAAAAGGGTCTTCTAAATACGTATTAATATGGGATTTAAGTTTAAGACATGAAAACATTGATGAAAAGTAAAATGCAGTGATGATGATGCTACAAGCACATGCAGAAGGTCCTACCAGTCCTAAAGCATGATACAAATTCCCGCAATTCCCGCATTTGAATTCTCCAATAAATCAAATTAATTTAAACCAGTTTGTGGCATATTTCTGACCATAATCATGCAGAAACACAACACATTTTGAAAATCAAACAGACACTACCTAACTTGCTGAAAAATCACCCTTTTGTCTGACCCATTTGAGGCCAACAACTACTATCACCATGCAATGCAGACAACAATTGCCTTTCAACAAAAAATAAAATCAACTAACACAACATTAACACTTATCCAATGATGTTGTTCAATGGTGGTGTGGTATTCACTACCAGAAATGAATGAATGCATCCCACGCTGCTCCGACGGCAAAAACAACAGGCGTGAGAAGAATGTGGCCGGTGGAGAAGAGTGTTGGTGCGCCGGATTTTACAGGGGCGGCTTTCGGCGGAGGTGGTAGCTTTTCAACATGAACAGCCACCTTCATGCCACTGAAGCAGAACCCTTTGCCACTGATGATGTAGTAGGTTTTGGTTACGTTTAGAGGAACCACATCTCTTCCTGCACCCCTTGTCCAGTTTGTGAGTGGATGATCAGAGTTACAAGTCTCATAATCGGTCTTGTTCACTTCCAGCACGCTAGCTTGGTTCCTGTCGTAAACAAAATCTGCAAAAACAGACATAGTTAGCATGAATATATGAACTAGGAAACATTGCATTCCATAAAATCTTGGTTTGGAACTCAAAATTTGCACCCAACCACCACACAACTTTGTTCATTGCTACTTCTTACAAGTGTTTGTGTGCTTCTATAACCAAAAATTGAGGTATGACAAGGCAATGAGAGTACAAATCAAAACTAGAGTAGAAAACTTCTAAGATAGAAGAGATAATTATTAAGAAGTGAACTTTAACTATTACTGAATCCAACAAAACCAACTTGAAAAATGAGATTTATACCCACTTATATACTATAAACTTGTCTTATCTTTACTTAGGATCTTCAATAATAATGAATACCTATTACCTTGTTTGGATTACCCTTAGCCTCATTCTAAAAGTACTTTTGAGACTAAAAGATACAGAATGTCCTTCAAAAGTAAGTTTTACATTTCAAACATGTACTATATCTGTTATGTTATGTTGCATTCCATTAACAAATTGAGCCACTAATTGAGGGTGAAAGTCATTCTTTTAACTTTACTTCACCTCATTTTTACTGTGATGTTAATTGATGGGAATATTCAGCTTAACCTTTTGATTAATTTGGGTAAATTAGTGAACTCATAAACTCGAGCAACATGCTATAATACGCAGAATATGGCAGTATAGAGTGCATCCTGCCACAGCTAAAAATTGTTTAAAGGTTAAACAAGACTGCAATTCTCTATTCTTGTTCACATTTCAATTGTTTGATTGCTATTCCACATTTTTGTTTAACCATTCACATATTTATGGCTTATCTTGGTGGTGAGCATCCAGAACTCAACACCAACGGGGAGAGAAGATGCAAGAACCATGAAAAACACAAATTAACTTGCATTCACACCAAAAGTAACCATGAAAATTTTGACGGCACAAAAACGAGGAATTTTCACTGAAAGAGAGAAATGCACGAACAAGCAACAGAATAAGGATGTTAACTAAGGATTTGGAAATGCAGCCCAAGTCAACAAAAGCACAAAAAGGGATCCAAATTCAAAACCCTATTTTTCATTTACACTCCCTCTAGACAGAAAATATCAATTAAGAAATCAAAATTAAATGAGGCAGGGAATGTGGGAAAAACTCCAACACCATTCCCCTAAAAACACAACTCTTACA